GGAGAGAAGCTGCTTGTATTGCAGGAATTGCTAAAAAGTGGTGATGACTGATATCAGGTGCCAGTTATCGTGTCTGCAACTGGCCATCTAACATTCTTTTAAATTTATGTGTGCATGTTTCTAAGTAGTGCAGGTGATTGAAGCAAAAATTAACAATCAGGATATTTGTCTTTAAACACTGAAAGAAGAGAAAAGGAGAGTTTGAGAGAAAGACAGATTGGACTTTTTGGGTAAACAGTATAAGCAGTTTAACAAAAAAATGAAATACAGGTCAGGTTATTACAGTAGCTTGTTCTGCAAAGTCTAACCATATAACCTGGTCTCCAACAGCAGGTGCAGTTTGCGCAGCTCTGTTTTTAGGACTTCTTCTCTATGTTGGCTTAAATGATGAGATTAACCTGATTTTGATCTGATTTCCTCATGGAGAAAGATCGGACTGACTGATTGACAGGACAGATGATCAGAGGTGCAGAGTTATCATCATCATTAACACCAGGACAGAAGAATGGGTAGAGTTTCCCGGTGAAGGAGCAGCCAGTAAAGGAATAGATAAGAGCTGCATGATCTGCATCAAAAAAGGAGACCAGACCCTCCTCATAATCCACAAACACCCCGACCTTGTCAGGATAAGACTGAAGAGGGAGACGGACTTCAGGATCCTCAAAAGCTACACAAATGTTTTCATATACTCCTACAGTCCAGTAACCTTTCTCAGGACTCGGTGTGATTTTTTTCTTCCTGTTGACTGACTCTGTGACCACTCCTAAAGCCCATTCGGTCTTCCCTTTAACCAGAACTTCAAAGTAAAATCTGCCTGAAGAGAAACTCTGCTTTCCGGAAACAACAATCTCTTCAGAAAATCTCTCTGGGTTGTCTGGACATTTCTTCTTATCACCACAGTGTACTTGTTTTCCATCATCAGACAGGATGAGTTTAGGATGTGCTGTATCGGGATCAAGAGTCACATCCACTGCATACTGCTGGACCCTCTTCAGCTCAGCCTCAAACAGCTTCTTCATGTCTTTACTGAATATCTCTTTCAGCTGATCCACAGCTCCCACCACAGTCCCCTCATATAATGGTGGATGGATACTGACCTCTGTCCAGTCCTTGGTGGTTGGAACAGCTTTCAGGGATGAGAAGCTTTGGAGGAGGTGGAGGTGATCTTTAGCGCGTGAAAGCTGGCCCACCTCAGAGCTTCTCTTCATCAGCTCAGAGATTTCTTGTTCCAGATCTGTGATGAAACCTTCAGCCTGTTTGTCTGTTGTTTCCTGTTTGTCTTCAATCTCCTTTATCAGTTCATTCAGGCATCTGGCAACAGACTCCTTCAGAGCAGTGAAGACCCGAACACCTTCTGCTTTCTCTCTGTCTGCAGCATCTTTACTCATCTTCACTGACTCTTTGATCTCCTGAATCTTCAGCCATGTCTTCTGGATCATCTGTTGAATTTCAGCCTCAGTCTTCCCCAGTTCTGACTTCGGTCCTTCATATTCTTCTCTCAGAGGAAGAAACTCATGAGTCTTGTGGTCAACAACAAAGCAGAGCATGCAGACACATGTCTGATCGGTCTTGTTTTTCAGGTTCTCCTCAGGATCAGAATCAGCTGATGTTGTTTTAGACTTGAAGCAGCCAGGTGAGGCTGCAGGTGAGTCTGACAGTAGGAGGCAAGACACACCAAGCAGGACTTCAGGGCCTTCAGTTTGGTTGCAGTGCAGATGTCACAGGGAACTTCTCCTGGTTTGGCAGCTTGTTGCTCTGAGCTGCTGCTGCTGACTTTCTGCTGCGCTTCATGTCTGAACTGAGCCAGTGTTGGGGAGTAATGGAATACATGTTATGTATTTAAAATACAAAATATGAGTAACTGTATTCTGTCATTAGGGGGTCCTCTTGGGGGGATACTCCCACAGGGCTTAAATCTGGGACTCACCATTTGATTCAAGTTTAGAGGTTTGTTTTTTTCTTTTTTACTGTTTAAAAAACTGGACTGGATTGGATTGTTTTTTTGTGTTTTGTGATTGTGTTGTGTTTAACTACCCCTGTTATTTCATAGTGGTCTATCAACCATTATATATAACCTTATCTCCCTGGTTAGGTCAGTTTAGTTTGTTTGGGCAGTCATTTGGGATGTGGAGTCCTCATTTTGTTTGCCTGAATTCAGTCTGGTTTCTTTGACCTCTTTTTTTAGATTGACATTTATTATTTTGGTGAATGTAATTTTTAGGATTAAATAAAGGAAACCCCTCTTTTCATAATAATTCCTGGGACTGATCCTGCTTTTCAACTAAGTCCGTCACAGCAATCTGGACACACCCATGAAACCTGTAAATTAAATTCCTGGGTTTAATAGTTTTCACTTTTTGAAGACTTTGTATCTAAAACAGATAAAGGCCCTGTTGCAAATTAAAAAAAAAAGGGGCAAGATTAAAGGTACAAGGTGACTTGGCTCTTGCATTGAGTTAAGTTCAAAAACTGTAGTATCTGTTTCTGTACAGAGCTCTGGTTAGGAGGAAAATTCCAACCCTTGGAAAATTGAAATACTCAACTGTTGCCCATCTCGAAGAGCAGGATGTTACATCCTGCGGTGTCTTTGTATGCAAGGTAGCTATAATGGTCATGATGTATTGCACTTGAATAAGCACAAACTTTAATTAACATGAAATGCTCAGCTCCTATCACATACAACAATAGTTTCCTGTTGACCAAGAGGGGATTGCCAGGCTAAGACTGGACATGTGCTCTCTCAGGTATGCTTCAGAAACGGCTCTCTCAATATTAATTTAAAATATTTATATGCATATCCTCACTGTTGCATATATTTTCAGATCATCTTTACCAGCTCTGCTGTGTTGAGAGAAGCTCTGGTGCAGAAACTGATGAGTGGGTAAGATAATGAAATCCAGACCTAAGACTGAAGCACAGAATTCTGAGGTAACTGAACATTTACACATCTTTAGTTGGTTCATTAAACAAACTGACTTTAAATGAATGACTGACAACATTAAATGTTTCTCTCTTCAGATTGAATGCATCTGCTGTGGAAAGTCCCACACAAGACCCACACAGTGTGCATGGACTTCTCTATCCGGTCTTTAATTCTGACGTTATTAGCCATGTCTGGGCCCAAACTCTGCTGCAGGTCCCTAAGTCAAATGATCACTTCAGCATTACTGAGAGTTGAAAAACCGTCTAAATTCTTTCATCTGTAATAAAATGATCACTGTGGCTGCTCTACCAGGTGTAACAATTAAATTTAACATCCAGGCATCCATGAAAATAGAATTTATGACATTTAACCGAGTTAGAAGTTAGCAGGGAGTTAGCTCGCTTGCTTCCCTCTAAATATAATATACCATGTTCAGAATGAGGGATTTAAGAAACAAATTAAGACATACAGCTCTGCTATCACTTCCAACATAAATGAAGACAGGAAAGTAAACAGCAGTGACGTTTGTAGGGTTACTGAAGTTGGGCTAGCTGGTATATTATGTGCTAAGTGATCGCTAGCGCGACAAAGCTATGTTAGCATAACATAAACAGTAAAGCTGGAGGACGAACGCTAACAAACGGAGGACTTTTTTCCACTCGATAAAAGTTTATGTGAGGGTTCCCAACGGTTAGGGACAAATGCAATCGCATGGCAGGATGCTGTAAACGGACCAATCATCAGTCAGAAGAACCACCGAGATAATCCATCCACAATATGAGGTTAGTTATTAATATACTGCTGCATGGGCTGGGCTGTAGTTACATCGTAAGGATTTAAAAACTGAGCTTTAAAGTGATTAGCGGTAATAAAAACCGAGAGAAGCTGAGAGTGACCACTGGCTGTTTTTAGGGGCTTGTTGAGATTAAACAGAACTAGATAAAAAGCATTAAAACATGTTAAAAACACTACAGCCTTATTAAATGCAGACTACTTTGGGCCCGGAAGCAGGATTCATCACGTCATCACTTAAAGACCGGATTGCAGAAGGCGATTAACTATGACACATTTTAAATAAACAGAAATAAATGATTCATGCTTAATGACTGATTTTAGTCTTGATAATTCAATGTACTGGCATTGAATATTTAAACATGTTTGTGGGTTGATTTGAATGCTTCAGGTGTGAGTGCAGCCACTCAGCCTCCACTCAATGTGCTGACAGAGCCAGGTGCAGATGTGTCACAAGTTACTCTGCTTGTAGGCTATGACACATGGCCACAGGCGGCACTAGTGGACTGGACTCACTTTGAGTGCAGACACTGTAAAGTCCATGCTTTAGTCCGCAGGCAACAATGCTGAAATCAGATCAGAGTAATAAAATTTTAGAAGAATAATGATGAAGACAGCAAGATTCTCGATAACCTAAACTGACAGACTGTATTTGAACCACACAAATGTCACAGATATATCCAGTGTTTGTTTCCTGGTTTGTCTGCGGCTCCTGAAAAGCATATCTGTTTGACCAACACCAATTATTCTAAAATGCCAGATAATCTGAAAATGTGGTGACATGAAGTTATTTGCTCATGATTATGTTTTTGTGGCATGACTTTTGACATTAATATGCTTCCACACAGGGACGGTCCTAGCCTGTTTGGTGCCCTGGGTGAACACTCCCTCTGGTGCGTCCCCCACCTCCCCTCACACACACACACACACACACACACACACACACACACACACACACATATAAAACATATTAAGGATTGCGCATTAACATATTTTATTGTGATAACTGTTGTCGGAACTATAATGAATTTGAACAGATAAACAAACACACACACACAGAAAGAGAGTATGCATAGTATGCAAACGGCTAACAAACAGCCATTATAATTCGTAAAGGAGACAAATCAGCAATACACCTCTTCCAATTAATGTCTAATTAATATTGTGCTGAACACTGTCTGCCCACTGTCTATTATCATGGCTTTGACCTTTCCTTGTCCATCTTCCATTGGTGTTAGTTTTGCACTCCAATATCTGATTGACTGATTGACAGAACAGGTGATGATCAATTATCATGGTCATCATCATCATCCTCATCACCATCACCATCACCTATCATCACAGGACAGATGATCAGAGGTGCAGAGTTTTTACCATCATCATCAACATTCCAGGGACAGAAGAATGGGTAGAGTTTCCCGGTGAAGGAGCAGCCAGTAAAGGAGTAGATAAGAGCTGCATCATCTACATCATGAAAGGAGACCAGACCCTCCTCATAATCCACAAACACCCCCACCTTCTCAGGATCTGACTGAAGGGAGAGACAGACTGGAAGACCCTCCAGAGCTATATAATTATTTTTATATACTCCTACAATCCAGTAACCTTTCGTTCGGTTCAGTTCAACCATGAATTTTTCCTTCCTGTTGACTGACTCTGTGACCACTCCTAACATCAATTTCGTCTTGTATTTTACTTGAACTTCAAAGTAAAATCTGCCTGATGACAAACTCTGCTTTCCTAAAACAATGAGAAATTCAGAAAATCTCTCTGGGTTGTCTGGAAGATCATTCTCCTCTTCACCACAGTGTACTTGTTTCCCATCATCAGACAGGATGAGTTTAGGATGTGCTGTATCAGGATCAAGAGTCACATCCACTGCATACTGCTGGACCCTCTTCAACTCAGCTTCAAACAACTTCTTCATTTCTTTATTGAGTGTCTCCTTCAGTTGACTAACAGCTCTCACCCCAGCTCTCACCACAGTCCCCTCATATGATGGTGGATGGATACTGACCTCTGTCCAGTCCTTGGTGGTTGGAGCAGCTTTCAGGGATGAGAAGCTTTGGAGGAGATGGAGGTGATCTTTAGAGCGTGAGAGCTGCTCCACCTCAGAGCTTCTCTTCATCAACTCAGAAATTTCCTGTTCCAGATCTGTGATGAAACCTTCAGCCTGTTTCTTTGTTGATTCTTGTTTGTCTTCGATCTCCTTTATGAACTCATTCATACGTTTGTCAACAGACTCCTTCAGAGCAGTGAAGACCTGAACACCTTCTGCTTTCTTTCTGTCTGCAGCATCTTTACTCATCTTCACTGACTTTTTGATCTTTCGAATCTTAAGTAGTCTCTTTATGATCATCTGTTGAATTTCAGCTTCAGTCTTGACCAGCTCTGCCTTCTTTACTTCATATTCTTCTCTCAGAGGAACAAACTCATGAGTCTTGTGGTCAAAAACACAGCAGAGCATGCAGACACATGTCTGATCGGTCTTACAGAACAGCTCCAGAGGTTTATCATGCTTCATACACATCCTGCTTTCCAGGTTCTCCTCAGGATCAATCAGCTGATGTCTTTTCAAACCTTTCATTGTCAGATGAGGCTCCAGGTGAGTCTGACAGTAGGAGGCCAGACACACCAGGCAGGACTTCAGAGCCTTCAGTTTGGTTCCAGTGCAGATGTCACAGAGAACTTCTCCTGGTTTGGCAGCTTGTTGCTCTGAGCTGCTGCTGCTGACTTTCTGCTGAGCTTCATGTCTGAACTGAGAAACCATGTCAGATATGAAAGTGTTGATGTGCAGCTCAGGTCTGGTCTGAAAGACCTTTTTACACAAAGGACACTGACACCTGTCACTGATATCCCAGTGTTGACTGATGCAGCTTTTGCAGAAGTTGTGTCCACATGGTGTGGAGACTGGATCAGTGAAGACATCCAGACAGATGGAGCACAGAAACCGATCTTTCGATAGAAGACAGCTGGCAGCAGACATGTCTGCACTCTGAGTGAGAAAGAAAAGAAAATGATTTTATTTCAAATTCACTTTTCATTATGTTTAAAGTGGACTTTTTCTGCTTTTCCTTCTTTCCTGTCAAATATCTCCTATTGTTCACCTTGTGAATGTTCATTTTTAAATAATAAGGTTAGTGTATGTAATCCCTGTGAGCTCAAAGTTCAGACTACAGATTGCTCTACAAACTGAGTTTCAGATAACTTTCTCTACGTGGGACAAATGCAGCCACTAGGAGGGTCACAATCCAGTCCCCTCCTAGTGCTGACCTCAAGCCTGGGGAAGAAGGGAGGGGGAAGGCATGTTCAAGCACAGTGAGAGATAAGGAGAGGCATCCATGTGGAGATGAGAATACAGACTAAATGTAGCAGCTATGACTGGTAAAGTGCTGATATTATTGAGAGAGTATAGGTAAATGAGTTGTGTATGCATTAAAAAAAACATAGCAAGGAAGCACAACTATGACCATCAGAGGTAGCTTAAAGCTGTTCTACCACAGTGTAGGTAGGAAGAGAAACAGTGTATGGATAATCTTGAAGGATGAGTATGTCAGTGCTGTTGTGGAGGTGTTAGACATGATCAGGAATGTCTCACCAGTTGGGCAGTAGAGAAAGAGGAATTGTGGAGTAAGTTTGATGAAGTTTCACTATGTTTGTTATCATATATCTGTGAATATCGGGAGCAGTCCAACCTTATTAACATTTCCTGCCCTTTTTCCAACATTGTCTTCATTAAGTACATGTAAAATGTTCATTACTGTCACAACTCCACTTTTACACTTGGTATAATGTCCATCACTGATCACCATGCAGGGCTCGCAAAATTTCAAAATCCCTGGTGGCCCTTTGGGCAGAGACTCTTCAGTTTTTGGTAGCCCAAAATAAATTTAAGTAGCCCGAATAAAAAAGAGCAATTTTTTGATTGATGTTTTGTTTCCTGTTTTGTTTCTGTTACAATATTATACATTAAAGTATAATATTGTAACGGAAACAAAACATTAATCAAAAAATTGTTGAAACACAAATTACAACATTGTATAAAAATTACAATCATCAACTCAAATACTTGGTTCTAATTGAACAGAAATTTCTATGAACTTGTAAAAACTGTGTAGAACATGAATCAGTCTGTGTCAGATCCTGAATTTGAAATTTCCACTGAAGTCACGGGTAAGAGCATAGCTGGACTGGCCATCGGGCATACCGGGCACTTGCCCGGTGGGCCGCTGGCGATTTTTTGTTTTTATGGGCTGATGGATTATTTTTTTTTAATTAATTAATTAATTTTTTTTAGGAAGGGTATATATAATGAAAGGTGTTGGATTGGCCAATTGGTCATGATCGACTCTGGGCTGGACCAATTACAGCCGAGGAGGCCGGATGCACCCTCCCCCTTGTTTAGCAATCATGTGATTTTCGCGCATTGCATGCCGGGAACTCGTGGCAAAACAATCCAAGTACCGCATCAAATGCAAGCATTTGCAGCACCGCAAAACGTTCATCCTCCGATTCCAATACCTTCTTGTTTTTTCTTTGCCGCACAAAAAAGGAATGTACAAAACAAAAGGAGAACAATGCCGGTCCGTACAAAGACAGACGCGACGAAAAGACAAAGAAAAGATACGAGGAAAAAAATCAAAGGAGTGAAAGGGTCAGACCCTTACGTGCACACAGAGTGGACAAAAGACGTTAGCGTGCTGCCCAACTTTCACCACGCTCATATTTATAATTATACGGTTCTTTGAGTGAGTGCATACACTCATGAAGTTTAGTAACTTCAGGTCACTGCAACAAGACCAGGTACAGTTTACCGACGGATGGGTGCAGGACCTTGAAATGCACCGTGTAGAACGAAAGACCATCGTACGAACAAAGGTAAGTTTACCAGTCTCACATATCATTGTCATAAATACACATTCGTTAACCGTTTATTAATATAACCTTTGAGCTCAATGGTAATTAATTAGTAGTGGAAATAATTTCTGGTAGCATTACAGAAATGTAGCAGTGACAATAATATTGTATGCTGTAATCGCACTGGACAATTAGTGATACAAACAACTGTTTTATCCTGTGAATAAAAGTTTATGTTTTTGTCAATGTACCATGGTAATAACAAGCGAAACGCAATATTGTGTCAGGAAAATTCACTATTTATGCACAATAAACAAAGGAGCATAGCGCGACAATTTCTGTTCAGCGCCAGACATGCTTGTAACCTATTTCACCAATTATGTTATGAAAATGACGCATTAACAGCAGACTGACCTTTGTGGGAATGCTTGGAGCAGACTAACCTGTGAGCTGGAGTGTTCTGGGACGTTATATTTGGTATATCCAGACCATCCGTCGGCTCTTACTTCGGAAACATGGCTCAAAAAAATTTCTCTTCAACGACGTAATCCGATAAAAAAAAAAAACGATCTCTTTACCCGTCGGCTTCCCGTGGCTGTCATGCGACCGGTGTTGTGCCAAAAAGTGATTGCCTGCCAAAAAGTGATTTCCAATGTTTCCGTGTATTTTTTATGTGTAATATCTTTACGTATGTTGGTAAATAGACTTCGGTGAACAGCGTTTACAAAGGGGTTATATATAGAATTAAAAGATTATCTGTTTTTTCAAGTATCTTTATAACTCTGTGTTATTGTACTCACATTATAACCAATCCGGTCCTTTTTCCCCACTTACAATATTTTTACAGAACTATTGTAATATTTGCTGCCATTTCTGCTGTCTTACTCTTACAAAAGACATTTTTAATGTTAATGAGATTTTTTTTAACTGCATAAATAAAGGTTCTATAAAAGTCGCTGCCAAAAACTGATTGCGGCTTCTACCTTGTTACACGAATGTTGTTTGTGGCTCAATATGACTTTGTGTCATCCATGAGGGATGCATTTGACATATGTTTCACATATTATAGGCCAACAAGTTACTTATACCAGTTTAAATACGAGCAATCAGTTTTTGGCAAATACCGGAAATCAGTTTTTGGCAGACAATCACTTTTTGGCACAACACCGGCTATTGCAGTTAATAATACAACAGCTTCTTGCCATTTTTTGTGTTTCTTTTTATCGCTGTGTAACTGAGTTCAATTGAAAGCCTGCGTGCGCTAGTACCTCTTGCCACAAGTTCCCAGAATCCTTTGCGGTTTTACCCCTGAATGACGTCACATTTTCAATCTTTATCCTGGTGGGCCGGTCTCTAGTCAAAATGCCCGGGCCGATTTTTTGTCCCAGTCCAGCCTTGGGTAAGAGGCAAGTGGAACCAAGATCTAGGCCATTTGCTTTTTGAAGTTTGCAAAGACTGCTAAATTGTGCCAGTGGTAGTTCACTCTTTGCAACATAGTACGCTGTTCTAAACAGATTTTTCAGGTTTATTTTTAGTATGTTATTTGCAATTGGTGTTTGTTCTGGAAAAGATATTGCAGACTGAGCAATAATGCATTTCTTGCATTTCTCACAGGTTCTAATGGAGGCCTTTCTTAAAATGACTGGTCCCAGTAACAAAGGCGCTTGTCGACTCAGAAATCGAGGGAAAACCAACAACACACCCGGCAGAACATTATGTTATTTACACGGGTGCACATAAGTGGTCCGCATGTGCGCATTCGCTGTCAAAATAAAAGACACACCAGACGCACCAGATAAGAAGTTGCAACGCGCGTTTGCGTCCATATAAAAAGCACTGTTTTTGAGTGGGCACATTCCGCACCACATCTCTGTGCGTTCATCATTTGTTTGAAGCCAGCTCACCTCCTGCAACCACTTTTCCGAGAATACGCGCTTCTTTTGTGGTTCGGACTCCTTCTGACATTTGTTTGGAGGTGGAGGAACACCAAAGTAATTGCTTAAAGGAGCTTCTTCGACATCTTTAATAGTTCTAAACAAATGTCTGTCCTCCTCCTGAAAATCTTATGTACACAAACACACGTTGCAACTTCTTATCTTGTGTGCCTTTTTTATTTTGACAGCGAATGCGCACCTGTGGACCACTTATGTGCAGCCCTGGTTATATAGCTCGTCATATCGCAGCCACAAATTCTTTTGTCCATGAAACCATAAAGCTGCACTTTCTTTTTGCCTTATAGTCTGATTTGTCATAACTTCTCCGTTTTGTGGTAAGCTTTTCTTTGGCTGTCACTTCTTCACCCTGACCTGTCTTATCTGGCTCAGCAGAACTAAAATATATATCCTGCTGCTTTTACACACACACACACACACACTCAGCGATTCTCTGCCCGATCAACCGCTCATATGTTTAAGCTTGCTGCGGGAGATTTCACTTGTCATGTTTGCATAGTAAGCTAACGACTGATAAGACGATGTCAGAGGAATTGGTGCGCAAATTATCGTCACTCACCAATCAGTGCTGTCGCTCTCTATACACAGTTCGCGCGATTGCAAAGTGAAAGCAAAAAACAAGCGCAAATTCAAACGCGATTTCAATATGCCACATATTGACAGCGGCTCACCGATGCCAATGACATAATTACCCAGCTACATTTCCGAAAGAATGCAAAAGCATTGACATATATTTTTCCTTCCTATGATAGGCCGATGGGCAGGGCAGAGATAAATTTTGGTAGCCCGACTGGAAAAATCGCTAGCCCCGGGACGTCGGGCTAGCGATTTTGCGAGCCCTGCCATGTCTATAAATTTCCCGTGAGCTTCTCCAAGATCTTATCCATATTGCATTCAAAACACAGTCTGAGTACTCACAGCTTGCCCATCGTCAATCATGTCGGCCAGCCTTGTGGGGTTTTAAACAGCTCTGCTTCAATAAGCCAGGTCCGAGCCAGCTCCAATCAGCCAGAATTCTGTTATCAGGATTCCTAATGGTAGATAGATGTCACTCAATGTCCTACATCGAGAGTGTCACCAGGCACACGATGCAACCGACCATCGCGTAACGTCTCTGCAGGAAAATCGGGCTCTCCTGAGCCCAGGCTTCTCTAGGGTGTCAGTTTCGTTCAGGGAC